GTGCAGAAATTGTTTTAATCGATTGAAACGAGATTTAATCGATTAAAACAGTTCTGATCGGTCATAACTGCATTCTGATCGATCATAATTGAAACGATATAATAGCGGTTCCAGGTTAACCGCTATCTAAGTGAGCTTTTAAGAGCGGTTCCTGTGTAACCGCTATCTTAAATGTATTTCGCTTGAGCGACACTCTTCTCGCTCGAGCGAAACGCCCCCTGCACAAAATTGGCATTCTCGGGTTGTATTTCGCTTGAGCGACTCTAGTCTCGCTCGAGCGATATTTGATTCTGATCGATTAGATTTTCGAAATGATCGATCATATTTGATAATTTTTTCAAATAATTAATTATAATCGATTAGTTTTCTAAATTATTGATTAGAATTGATTAGTTTTTCAAATAATAGATTAGAATTGATTAATTTCTAAATATATACTAAAAAATTATAATTAAAAATATAAATTAGTTAAGAATATTGACTATTGTAAAGATAAAGTAGAACATGGGAGGAGATGAGGATGATAATATAATGATAGAACTTACAAAAATGTAGAATTGAGAAGTTTGAAACAAATAAAATTAAGAAAATAGATATTTAATTACACTTTTAATAAATTTAAGATAATACTAGTTTTGATTTTTATTTTTAAATATTTATTTTAATTATTTAAAACAGAGAAACTATCATTTTAGTTTCTAGCTACTCGAATTTAAAGAATTAAATTTATTATTATTTAATCTTTTAATTTGTAGAAATAAACTCAATATAATTGTTAAAAATACTTTGTAGAGGCATTTGAGAAAGCTTTTGTCAAAATACTTTGTTTTTAATTGTTAAAAACATTTGTAGAGGCATTTTGCAAAATCTTTTAAGTGAAGAAACCTCATGCAACATAAATCTTTTAATTTTAGTATTAAAAATTTAAATTATATTTTATTAAATTAAAATAGTTACAATATATTTTTTTACTTTGAGAATGAACAATATAATTAAACTCAAAATTGACAATATTATAATACATTTTTGAACTCTTTTGGATTAATTTTTTTTCCTAATTTTTGATAAAGTTAATTTTAATATTTAAAAGTATTTAACATTTTGAATTCTGAAAGGTTTTCTCTAATAGCAAATTTAAAAACATAATATTCAAAAAAATAGTTAATGTAAGTTTTCATTATGCATAATTGAGAAGATATGATAGCGGTTCCACGTTAACCGCTATCTAAAGTATAATTTTGATAGCGGTTAATGGTTAACTGCTATTAGAAGTGCAATTTTAAGAGCGGTTCTTGTGGAACTGCTATCTAAAATGTATTTCGCTTGAGCGACAATATTCTCGCTCGAGCGAAACGCCCCCTGCACAAAATTGACATTCTCGGATTGTATTTCGCTTGAGCGACACTACTCTCGCTCGAGCGAAATACGATTCTGATCGATCATAACTTGAAATGATCGATCATAATTGAGAGGATATAATAGCGGTTTCCTTATAACCGCTATCCGAAGTGTATATTAGATAGCGGTTAAAGCTTATACGATATTCGAAGTGTATTTCGCTTGAGCGAGACTACTCTCGCTCAAGCGAAATCCAATTTGATCGATTATATTTTCAAAATGATTGATCATATTTGATAATTTTTTCAAATAATTAATTATAATCGATTAGTTTTCTAAATTATTGATTAGAATTGATTAGTTTTTCAAATAATAGATTAGAATTGATTAATTTCTGAAATATATACTAAAAAATTATAATTAAAACTATAAATTAGTTAAGAATATTGACTATTGTAAAGATAAAGTAGAACATGGGAGGAGATGAGGATGATAATATAATGATAGAACTTACAAAAATGTAGAATTGAGAAGTTTGAAACAAATAAAATTAAGAAAATAGATATTTAATTACACTTTTAATAAATTTAAGATAATACTAGTTTTGATTTTTATTTTTAAATATTTATTTTAATTATTTAAAACAGAGAAACTATCATTTTAGTTTCTAGCTACTGAATTTAAAGAATTAAATTTATTATTATTTAATCTTTTAATTTGTAGAAATAAACTCAATATAATTGTTAAAAATACTTTGTAGAGGCATTTGAGAAAGCTTTTGTCAAAATACTTTGTTTTTAATTGTTAAAAACATTTGTAGAGGCATTTTGCAAAATCTTTTAAGTGAAGAAACCTCATGCAACATAAATCTTTTAATTTTAGTATTAAAAATTTAAATTATATTTTATTAAATTAAAATAGTTACAATATATTTTTTTACTTTGAGAATGAACAATATAATTAAACTCAAAATTGACAATATTATAATACATTTTTGAACTCTTTTGGATTAATTTTTTTTCCTAATTTTTGATAAAGTTAATTTTAATATTTAAAAGTATTTAACATTTTGAATTCTGAAAGGTTTTCTCTAATAGCAAATTTAAAAACATAATATTCAAAAAAATAGTTAATGTAAGTTTTCATTATGCATAATTGAGAAGATATGATAGCGGTTCCACGTTAACCGCTATCTAAAGTATAATTTAGATAGCGGTTAATGGTTAATCGCTATTAGTGCAATTTTAAGAGCGGTTCTTGTGGAACTGCTATCTAAAATGTATTTCGCTTGAGCGACAATATTCTCGCTCGAGCGAAACGCCCCCTGCACAAAATTGACATTCTCGGATTGTATTTCGCTTGAGCGACACTACTCTCGCTCGAGCGAAATACGATTCTGATCGATCATAACTTGAAATGATCGATCATAATTGAGAGGATATAATAGCGGTTTCCTTATAACCGCTATCCGAAGTGTATATTAGATAGCGGTTAAAGCTTATACGATATTCGAAGTGTATTTCGCTTGAGCGAGACTACTCGCTCAAGCTGAAATCCAATTCGATCGATTATATTTTCAAAATGATTGATCATATTTGATAATTTTTTCAAATAATTAATTATAATCGATTAGTTTTCTAAATTATTGATTAGAATTGATTAGTTTTTCAAATAATAGATTAGAATTGATTAATTTCTGAAATATATACTAAAAAATTATAATTAAAACTATAAATTAGTTAAGAATATTGACTATTGTAAAGATAAAGTAGAACATGGGAGGAGATGAGGATGATAATATAATGATAGAACTTACAAAAATGTAGAATTGAGAAGTTTGAAACAAATAAAATTAAGAAAATAGATATTTAATTACACTTTTAATAAATTTAAGATAATACTAGTTTTGATTTTTATTTTTAAATATTTATTTTAATTATTTAAAACAGAGAAACTATAATTTTAGTTTCTAACTACTGAATTTAAAGAATTAAATTTATTATTATTTAATCTTTTAATTTTAGTATTAAAATTTTAAATTATATTTTATTAAATTAAAATAATTACAATATATTTTTCTACTTTGAGAATGAACAATATAATTAAACTCAAAATTGACAATATTATAATATATTTTTGAACTCTTTTGGATTAATTTTTTTTCCTAATTTTTGATAAAGTTAATTTTAATATTTAAAAGTATTTAACATTTTGATATAATGAGCATGATAATATAATGATAGAATTTACAAAAATGTAGAATTGAGAAGTTTAAATTTTTTTTTAAGAAAATAGAGATTTAATTATACTTTTAATAAATTTAAGATAATACTAGTTTTTAAACCTTTTTCTAATATTTGTTTTTAAAAATATAATATCATTTTTTAATATTTTATAGATTTTATATTTATATATTTATAAAAGTAATTGGATTAAATTTATTATCCTCTCATATATTATTATACATTTAGCGTAATTTTAGTTTATTTAAAAATTAGAATACAAATATACTATACCAATATACCATTATATTATTTTCATTGTATATAAATTACAAAATTAATAATTTGTATACTATACTATACTATACTAACATATTATTTGTATATTATACTAATAGTATAATATACTATATTATAATATTATTTGTATACAAAACTAATATCTTTATATATAAATATATAAATATGGAAAGATATAAATATATGTAAAAATATAAACATATAAATATATATAAATATGTAAAGATATAAACATATATCTTTAATATTTTGTAAATGTAAATATAATTTATATATATTTTTAAATCTTTTTCTAATATTTATTTTTAAAAATATAATATTATTTTTAAAATTTAATATTTTTTTCAAATATATAAATATATAAAGATATAAATGTATAAGGATATAAATAAATATATAAATATATAAATATATAAATATATCAAAATATAAAAATATAAAAATATAAATATATTAATATATAAATATATCAATATATAAATATATAAATATATATAAATATATAAATATATATAAATATATATAAATATATATATATATATATATATATATATATATACAAATATATCAATATATCAATATTATCCCCTCATATATTAATATACATTATGCTATATAAATATATCAATATATAAATATATCAATATTTAAATATATATTAAAATATATTTTTATTTATAGATTTTATATTTATATATTTATACGGATATACATTTATTTGTATATAAATATAATTTATTTGTAAGTTATTATTAAAAGATCCTAAGTAGCTTCAGTGGTTGGAGTTTCAGACTCTCCAACTCTAAGGTACAGGGTTCAAATCCCGACAATGACAATAAACCACCTAATAATAAGTTAAACTTAAATAAGCAAAATATAATATAATTAAGAGATAGGGAAAATAAATAATAGATATAATAAAAATGTAAATAAATAAAAATAATTAAATTTGTTATTGGTTAACTTTTTCATTGATTTAGTGACCGATTCAGATGACCGATTTGGTTATATATAATCGGTCACTAATCACTATTTCGGTCACTATTTTAATTAGTAACCGATTTTGCACATTTAGTGACCGAATTTTTGGTTACTATTTGGTGTTTTTATTGTAGTGAAGCCTTATTCTGCACTAGTGACCCATAATCCACATTTTCATAAGGATAAGGAGCACAGAAGTCGCCGCTTCCTTTCTTCACACAATCATTGTCAGACACACATATGTTGGGATGTTCCTCAATCGTCTTCTTAAGGGATTTCTTTCCACACACACCACCCATTGGTAGAGGTGCAAAATAACATTTACAGCTCGAGCCACATGAATTAGGCTTATTTGGGTTACACCAACCCAAACAACCTGCTTCTATGTTCTTCATGGAGAATACTGAAAATAAAATTTATGATAGTTATGAGATATATAATTACAAATCATGAAAAAAAGTGGATGAAAACCTACCCATAGAAGCAAGGAAAAGGAGAGCGAAAGGAGCGAGCCTAAGAAGAGCCATTCTTGTGATTTGATTTTGGTTTGAATTTTGGTGTGAGCTAATTACTTGTTGCATGCAGCAATTTATAGGCACTGATTAGGGCATAAGTTTTGTTCAATCTGAGTTAATAACCAGAGCTCCAATCGGAATTAAATTCTTTCCAAAATGCACTGTTTGGAGTAAAGTTATATGATATAATTCTTTTTTTATTGGACACTATTCACGCCGCACTCTCACGACATTAAAATGTTCACTTCTTTGGCACGCTTAGTACTGAACTTCAAAATAAGTAATATATATCTTATTAAATGGATTCTGACGTAGTATTAAAAACATCTAATATTATAAAATTATCTTGTAAAATAAGATTTACGTTTAAAATATATTGTAATTTAATTATTTTTTAGTTAATATAAAATTTTTATCATAATTAACATCTATATTTTAATGATTTATTGTTAGAAAGGAAGTCAGTCCCATATGGAAATTATAATCTTTCATATAATAAAAGAGTTATTTTAGTTTAGTTATTGAATATAAAGTCTCACAGGCCATGTTTAGGAAAATTCTGAAAAAAAAAAAAATTAAAATATGTCTATCTGTGACATACATATCTTTCTAAGATACTTAGTGGTATATTAATTATGGTTTATACCATTATTCTAATAGATAATATTATTTATAGTAAAATCAGTGCATAAGTCAATTAAAATCATGACATTAAAAGATGAGATAAAGAAGTTTAATAGAAATAATTTCTTGTTGCGAAAATTAGAGATGAAAATAATTTTGATAAAATACAATTATGCACATGTTCTTGAAAAAGGACCCATGGACATCTCATATTTTGAGAAACTAGTGTAATATGTCACTTTCTACATCAATTTTAGGTCATGTAACCGATGTAGAAAGTGACATTATATCAGTTCTTTTTACAATCATGGTTATATGTCCATTTTAAAAAAATTAATTACACTCGATAAATGTTGACATTTTCACATATAATCATCCATGAAGTGTTATTTGTTTGTTATATTTTCTCACACAATACAATATAATAACATCAATATCAAGATACAAAATCAAAGAGAATTTTTTTTTATCCATTCTTAATAAAGTTTAGCATATAATCATTCAAAAAAATAGAAGTGATATACTTATCTAAAACGATGACAACAAGAGAGAGATGCGAGTTGATAATAACATGGAGGAACAATGGAAATGTCCTAGACAATAGAGAAGAATTTCAACTTTGTTCTTTTTCGTGTTAGGTGATGGCTGACAATTAGATAATTACATAGTAACTTTGTTTCGTTGCAGTGGTTGACCAATTTTTGAAGAGGAAAAGATTTAAAGGAGATCTATGAAAAGAAAAAACTTCGAAAATGATGAATTTTGGAGATGAAAAGTTCTAGAAAGAAGAAACTTTGCAGAGTATAATCTTCATAGAGGACGAGATTTGAGAGAATATAACAACAATAATGACAAAAAAAAAGAGTTTTTAGGATCACTACAAGAAAAAACCATTTTAGCGACCGAAAAAATCGGTCGCTAATGTCAAAAAATCGGTCGCTAATCAGTTAGTGACCGAAATTAGCGACCGAAAGGCATCGTCGCAAAAAGCCAAGTCGCTAATGTGTTAGCGACCGAAATTAATATATCAAATTGGTCGCTAAATCGGTGATAAAATTAAAAAAATAGCGACCGATTTAAATCGATCGCTAAATCAATAACAAAGTTAATTATTTTTATTTATTTACATTTTTTATTATATTTATTATTTATTTCCCCTACCTCTTAATTATATTATATTTTTTAGAAGTTTAACTTATTACTAAATTTATTGTCATTATCGGGATTTAAACCCGGTACCTTAGAGTTGGAGATCGAAACTCTAACCACCGAGCTACTAGGATCTTTTAATAATAACTTACAAATAAATTATATTTATATACAAATAATGTATATCCGTATAAATATATAAATATAAAATCTATAAATAAAAATATATTTATATATTTTAATATATATTTAAATATTGATATATTTATACATTGATATATTTATATATTGATATATTTATATCTTTATATATTGATATCTTTATATATTGATATATTGATATCTTTATATTTTTACATATATTTATATTTTTATATATTTATATCTTTATATTTTTACATATATTTATATCTTTCCATATTTATATATTTATATATGAAGATATTAGTTTTGTATACAAATAATATTATAATATAGTATATTATACTATTAGTATAGTATACAAATTATATATTAGTATAGTATAGTATACAAATTATTAATTTTGTAATTTATATACAATGAAAATAATATAATGGTATATTAGTATAGTATAGTATATTTGTATTCTAATTTTTAATTAAATTAAAATTATACTAATAATGTATAACAATATATGAGGGGATAATATTGATATATATATATATATATATATATATATATATATAAATTTATATATTTATATATTGATATATTTATATATTTATATTTTGATATATTTATATATTGATATATTTATATCCTTATACATTTATATCTTTACATATTTATATATTTGAAAAAAAAAATTAAATATTAAATTTTAAAAATAATATTATAATTTAAAAATAATATTATATTATTAAAAATAAATATTAAAAAAAATTTAAAAATATATATAAATTATATTTACATGTACAAAATATTAAAGATATATATTTATATCTTTATACTTTTATATCTTTATATATTTATATTTTATATCTTTATATCTTTACATATATTTATATCTTTGTATCTTTACATATATTTATATCTTTATATATATATATATATATATATATATATATATATATATATCTTTATATATTTATAAAATCTATAAATACAAATATATTTATATATTTTAATATATATTTAAATTTTATATATTGATATATTTATATATTTACATATTTATATATTTATATATTTACATATTTATATATTTATATATTTATATATTTATATATTTATATATTTATATATTTATATATTTATATATTTATATATTTATATATTTATATATTTATATATTTATATATATACATATTTATATATTTACATATTTATATATTTATATATTAATATATTTATATATTTATTTATATCTTTATATACTTATATCTTTATATCTTTATATATTTAAATATTAAATTTTAAAATAATATTAGAAAAAAGGTTTAAAAATATATATAAATTATATTTACATGTACAAAATATTAAAGATATATATTTATATCTTTACATATTTATATATTTATATCTTTATATATTTATATCTTTATATTTTTACATATATTTATATCTTTATATATTTATATCTTTATATTTTTACATATATTTATATATTTCCATATTTATATATTTATATATAAAGATATAAAGATATTAGTTTTGTTTACAAATAATATTATAATATAGTATATTATACTATTAGTATAGTATACAAATAATATATTAGTATAGTATACAAAAATTAGAAAAATATTTCAAAATATATATAAATTATATTTACATGTACAAAATATTAAAGATATATATATATATATATATATATTTATATCTTTACATATTTATATATTTATATTAAAGATATCCACATTTTAAACAATATTAAAAAATATTAAAAGTTATACTTTAAATTAATGAAAATATTTTAAAAAAGTTATATTTATTAAAGTATAAAAAATATTTTGTAATATATAAGTTAAAAAAATTATCATTAAAAGTGAGAATATTTTGTAATATTTTGAAAATATAATCGATTATTTAAAAATTTAATCGATCATATTGACATTTATATATGATAGCGGTTCCAACCGCTCTTAAAAGTGAGAATATAATAGCGGTTTATAGAAATGAAAAAACTAGTATATATATATATATATATATATATATATATATAATATTATAATATTTTATTTAAAATTTAAAATTTTAAAAATATTTTGATATTTTAAAAATTAATAATATATTTAGATTTATGGTTGAACGTAGTAAAATAATATTTTTAAAATATATTATTAAATAAAATTAATAATAAATTAATTTATTTGTAAGGTTAATTTGTAATTTATTTATTTATTTGATATTGTAATATTTTTTTAAGAAATTAATAATAAATTAGGAGGATAATAAAATTCTTTAAAATTATATGTATATAAGATGAAATAATATTTTGATGTAAAATTATATTTTTGAAATGTATTTTTTTTCTTATGTTTTTGCAATATTTTGAATGATATAATATTGAAATTGACTTTATAAAAAATTAGGAAAAAAACAATTAATTCAAAAATATAATAATGATAAAAATATTATAAAAAAGAGTTCAAAATATATTATAATATTTTCAGTTTTAGTTTAATTATATTTTTAATTCTCAAAGTAGAAAAATATATTGTAATTATTTTAATTTAATAAAATATAATTTAAATTTTTAATAATAAAATTAAAAGATTAAATAATAATAAATTTAATTCTTTAAATTTAGTATTTAGAAACTAAAATTATAGTTTCTCTGTTTTAAAAAATTAAAATAAATATTTAAAAATAAAAATAAAAACTAGTATTATCTTAAATTTATTAAAAGTATAATTAAATCTTTATTTTCTTATGTAATTTTAGAAAATTTTTAATGAAAATCCAATATATAAAAAAGTTGAAATTTTTAAAAGGCACAACCTTAACTTATATTAACTGTTTTTTTGAAAAAACCGACAAGAAAAACTTGGCTTAAAAAAAAAAGTTAATAATTTTGAAGTTATTTAAGTGATGAAGTTTCCAAATGTGATCTATGAATTTATTGAGTAAAATTGGAGGTAGGTTGAATATAAATTTAAATATATTTTTAATTTATTTAAATATGGTTTATTTTTAGTATTTATAAAATAGATTAGTTTTAAATTTTTAACTTTTCTAGCCGTCTATTTTTAATCTTTGTTATTAATTATGTTAAA